ATCCCCTGAAAATAAGACCTAGCGCATCTTTGGGAGCAAACATTAATATAAGACACTGTCTTATTTTCGGGGAAACGGGGTAGATCCCAGGACCTTGGATAGAGATATGTTCACATCCAGTGCTCTCAATGTGGGTGATGCTGCCACGGGGGTGGGGTGGGGGTGGGGGGAAGCTAGAATGATCAAGGGGTCTACAAAACCAGACTTTGACCTGGATTAAGGACTATAGGACAAAGGTTTTCAAGTGCCAGTGGGCGTTTAGTTTAGCTTTTCTTTTTTCTGAAAAGGTGGTGGCAGGCCAAATAAGTGTGGGCACATGTGACATAAGCACTTGCCAAGTCCAGTTCCCTCTGACTCAAGATGGCGTCACAGGGTTTTCTTCTTTGAAAGATAATGGTTTGGGTTTTGTGTGTTTGTTGATGACAAAACACACAGCGAAGCTTCGCACACCGCTCAACAGCGCCTTTAGGATTACATTTGCCACATTGTGCAGCCATTCTGACCTTTTCTGAATTGTTCCTCCTCCACGAACACAAATTCGCTGCCCTCTCAATTTCCTATCCAATCAGTCAAATTACCGTTGCAAATTTGATCTCATCTAGATAGATCTTAAACTAGTTTCCCTGCCTCCTTCTTAGCTTCTCATCCTTCCTCGACATTCAATGTTGATCACCAGAAAGGCTGATAGCCTTTATTATTATTATTTTTAGACAACATGTTTTCAATGAACGATAATAAAATTCCGAGACATAATATTATATGCAGTTAATTATATGTTGTGCTAAATTTTGCTAAAACAAACATTGTGCTCGAGGGGCCTACTGTCTAGTGTAGCGGTTCTCAACCTTCCTAATGCCGCAACCCTTTAATACAGTTCCTGATGTTGTGGTGACCCCTCCAACCATAAAATTATTTTCGTTGCTACTTCATAATTTTAATTTTGCTACTGTTATGAATGGTTATGTAAATATCTGATATGCAGGATGTATTTTCATTGTTACAAACTGAACATAATTAAAGCACAGTGATGGATCATAAAAACATGCAATTATATCATGTGAAATATTTATTTCTAATTACAAATAAATGAAATTTTGTCTCGAAGCATGGTTAACCATCTTAATATACCAGCAGTCAACTACATGGCTACATTTTGCGACAGTATGCGTAAAAAGCCAACGTCCGTGCGAAGGTTGAGACAGCTTCTTTCGGAATCAGAAATTCTCGGGGCAGTGTTTGCAAGAGCACCACGAAGATCATCTTCCACCACAAGTCTACTTCTGTGTTTAGATTTGATGACCAACAAGCTGAAAAACCTTGCTTCACAAAGCTATGTTGTTGGAAATGGAAGAAGACGCAACACTGTCTCAGACAGAACGTGATATGACTGCAAACACTTGATCCAGAATTTTGTCACTGGCGTTGTAGAGAAATCAGTTCCCGATGCATTGCTGTTAATAAGCCCAACGACTCCTCTTGTGCCGTCTCAGGAGCATCTTTCCCTTTGACTGTGAATGGGCTTCCGGCAAGTGCAGATGGGGTGTCAGGTAGATTTGGAATGTATGATGAAATTTCGTCTGCAAGCATGTGCGAGTAAGTGTTCTTTCACAGAAATTATCATCGTCATCCTTTTGTCTGGTTCAATGTCATGTTCCTCAAAGAAAGCAGATAAGGTAGGCCACATGTAAATTTTATTTTCATCCAATTTTTTTGCCAAAGCTGAAGTTTCATTTGGAATGATTGGATCTTGAGGTAGTTAGTTTATTGTGCCAACCTGGCCAATAAACACATGCGGGGTTAATTGAAGGGCGGAGGGGTAAATGGCTCAGTGAGCCTTGCCTTTCTAGTTCACAGGTCTCTTGTTTTGTGACGGTTGGACCATCACAAAAAAAGCAGTTCCCTGCTTTAGCTTGCAAGACTGACTTCCTGCAAGACATCTCCAAGGAGAAGCCACATGTACCTACCCTGATGCAGCCCTGGGTGCTGGTGCAGCCATGTGGAGACCCCTGCCAGAGCTGAGATGCTTACACGTTCACTGACTCAGCTTTCCTCCTGCAGTCGGCATCATTGCGTCTGTTTTGTGAGATGGAGGAGGACTTTGTGGATTGGTGTCAGACACATGGGTTAATGGGTTAATGTTGGACTTGTGGGCTTGGGCAGCACTGGATTGGGATGTTTTCTTGATGTGCACTTAACCTTTATATAAAACTCTCTCTTATACATGAGTTTCTGTGGATTTGTTTCTCTAAAGTACCCAGACTAATACAGATCTTTTCAGACAAATCGAGGCATGTTGCGTTTGGTCCTTGCAGTTATAAATTTAACTCATTCAAGATGGGAAAAATGGCAACAAGTAAGCTATTTTCTGCAGTTCACTTTTATCGCTGAAAAGTGCTTTGAAGTGTGGTCTTGCATTCTGACTGAAAAACGTTCTGAGTACATTACGGAGGTCCAAAACACATTTTAAAACTTTTCCTCTCGACAACCATCTCACTTCAGGGTGAAATAACAGAGCATTATTCAGTGCATCCCATTCGTTAAACAGTTGCAAAAACAGTACACTGTTTAAAGTGCTCGCTTTTACAAAATTGACAGAATTTAGAATGTTTTTCATTACTTCTTGCAACTCTTGTGGAAGCATCTTCGTTGCTAATTTTGCTGATGAATCATACAGTAAGTTCCAATGACTTTTGGTGACTCCTTCAGTAACATCGTTGAAATCCAAATCGACATCCTAGCATAGCTGTAGCACCATCTGTGCAAACAACACAAACCTTTTCCCAAGAGATCTTAATGTTCTTTCAGAAATGAACTGTGTCAAATACACCACATGCAGTAGTTGTCATTCAAGAGGTTTGTAAAAAAGAAACTCATCTTTAAAGTCGCCATCATTAATACACCTCACGTAAACCAGAACTGTAAACAGTTTGCAACGTCTGTAGATTCATCAAGCTGGATGCTAAATATTGGAAGTGGAGCAGATTTAATTTCCTGGATGACATGATCAAGAATATCAGCAGACATGCCATCTATTCTTCTGTGGACAGTGTCATTAGATAAGGAAATTGTGCTCTCAATTTCGTAACAAATTTGTCTCTGATCATAACTCGAACAATGTCTTTGACTGCTGGCAACAGTAAATCCTCAGCAATGGTGTGAGGTTTCATAGCTCTGGCGATTCTGAGTGCCACCAAATATGAAGCTTCAATGGCTGCTACGTTTTGTTTGTGGTACTTGCCACCAGTGTCAAGTCTGGCTTTCTTGAGTCCATCAGCTTTGCTTCTAAAATAGTTGATTCCTTGCCGGCAAAGCTCGGATGTTTGCTAACAAAATGGCGTTTTGTTTCTTCGGCTTCATAGATTCGCAAATAACACATTGTGGCTTCTCAATTTCTGCTGTAATTATTGAGGCAAAACCATACTGTAAAAAATCTTCACTATATTTTCTTTTCTTAACGTTCTCTACACGATCCATTGTCATATGATGGTTTGCTAATAAAAATAATATAGAACAATAGCTTTAATAATACAAAAGATGATACATGGCATAGTTTAATCAATACAGTTCATTAAAGTTTCCTATGATTTGCCATTCTGTGTGTTTTTTTGTTTTTTTTACATAACTGTTACTATCACACATGGGCAGTATTCACATCAATCACAGATGAATATAAAAAGACTGATTAGCATCCAGATTAAGTTTCCATGGTACAGGTATATTTTTTGCAGTAGTTGATGATTTTACAGTACATGATTTTACATTTACTCAGTAATTATAAATATCATGGGGTGCCCTTTTACCTCCAATACGGCTGCTTTCAACACAGCAGCTGCTCTCACCACAGTAGCTGCTCTTTACACTGTGTGACTAGTCTGCAGAAGTACATTATGGCACCAACCCTGTCACATACACCTATATTTGTACAGGGTGTATGTGATGGGGTTGGTGTGATGATGTCATCACACCGGGTACTTGTATGTGGGTATATCTGCATGTGGGCAGACCCACCTGGAGACGGATAGAGGAGTCTGAAGAGGAATGTATAAGGTGGTGTCGGACATATGGTTAATATCAGACTTATGGACTTGATCTGGACTGGGTTGGGATGTTTTATTAATATATAATTACTCTTTATATAAAGCTCTTTCTTATATCTATATATGAGTATCTATGAATTTGTTTCTCTGGTCAACCCAAACTAAAACATTTGTGAATAGAGATAATTTTACTTCGTTTCCAATTTGAATGCCTTTCATTTCTATGTCTGCTCTTATTGTTCTGCCTAGGGCATTGAATACAATAGTGAAGTGTTGACAGCAGGTACCCTTGTCTGTTCCTGATTTCAAGGAGAATGCTCTCAGTCTTTCTCCACTAAACATTCATTCATTCACATGCTCTGAACCATACTGAGGAACTTCCCTTCTATTCCAATCTTGTTGAGGATTTTCATGAAGAACGGGTTTTGGTCATAGAAATTGGAATGGGCTTTAGGCTCACACTTAATTCTAGCCCAATCTAAAATCAATTCGTTCTTCTAGCAAGACCCTGA